AGGTGAGACCAAACGGCTAGAAGAGATGAGAAGATACAGGATGAGATGAAAGGGGACATCACAGGACATGACGGAACATGAAGGGGATCGGCGGGACGTAACGGGATGAGACAGGAAGAGACGAGGTGAGATTAGACAGAAGAAGAGAAAAGGTAACGAGACGGGACGAGAGAATGTTCTGTTATTATGTTGATTATTAGATGTAGACGGTTAAACTTTATTTTTTTAAATGTATTAATCAGTTGTTCAAGATCTCCTAAAATGTCTTAATTACCTGATCAGATGGGATTCACTCTGCCTCTTGCGTGCTCTAGCCCACACTCAAAGAGCGTCACAGATGACGGAGTTCATACTGTGAGTTTACTGACCACTGAATGAGACGACGTAGTTTCTACACTCTTCTGGAGCAATGGCGCTCGTGCAGGGGGGCGTGAGCACAGAGGGGAGGGGGCGGGTGCAGACAAGGCACTGAGGGAATGCTACTTTCAAAATCATGCTTGTTTTCAAAAATCACCAACCCTGCCTTTAATGCATGAATGAAATGTCTTTTTCACACATCATAAAAAGACACCAACAGATGAGACTCGAAGCATTTCTTACAACTTTCAAACTTTTTATTTCTCAGTTTTCCATGTATGAAGTTTCAGTGATGCAGCAGAGATGAAAACAGGAGTAAAAATCTAAGATCGAGTCCAACGAAAAACAAAACCGTCCCTTTGAAACCAACAGAAGACATTTCAGCACCGCCTGAAACTAAACCAGCAGGAAGCTCCCACAGAGAAAAAGAAGAGTAAATATTACAGAGTGAGTGGCGGGTTTCAGTGTTTCAGTGGAGTAATGATTCAGGTTTCAAATATTCATTGGCAACATCCACGTGCTTGAAATGTTCATGTTTTTATTTATCATCATTATTAACATGTAAACAACACGGTCTCACCCGATTTCATGAAATGAGCCAAAACTTTTGAAATGCAAAAAATTAAAGAGTAAATATGTTCGGATTACTAATCGTCACCATGAAACACATTTTCTAGAACATTGTATCTGATAAGGACACGACCCTGACACCATTGCACGTCTTTAAAATATGAAACTAGCACAGTTTAAGAAACAACTCTCGTTAAGGGATATTCAAAGAAGCTATTTCATGAGTTCTAACTATTAAACATGCATATTTTATAGTATAAAAAGTCAAATATTCTACCTCACACATGATCTTGTTAGTGCAAGTAAACTCGAGCTTTGAGAGAAACAAAAAGGGCTTTCATAAAAAGCTGATCTACATGCAAACAGCGACAGGCAGAAGAAGAAGAAGAAAGAAATCAAAGAGATCAGATCACACACGTCATGCAAACACATCACTAGTCGTCTGTTTCAGGTAGAAAAGTATTTTGCAGCGCGTCAGTAAAGAAGCCGCTCGGACACGACGCACGGCCGTTTTGTTTTTCCCTCTTCCTCCTCCCCCTCCTCCTCCTCCTCCTCCTCCTCCTCCGCTTTGAAAAAAAAAATGTAAGCTCGTTCTCTCTTTCCCAACATTTCGTTACGTATCTTACAGGAGTTAAAAACACATCCAGCCTATCACAAACTAAGAACGGAAACGAGTCTTTCCTGCTGAGAAACGAGTCGTGGCATGTTGTTCAACGATCGGGGGGCTTTGGGGGGATTCAGACCAAAAGGGAGGACAAGTTTTCTAAGTCCGCTTCAAACAGCTGAGCTACTCGAGGCAGACCAGGTCTCAGTCTGATGACCTGTTAGCTAGGATCAGTACCAGGTCTCAGTCTGATGACCTGTTAGCTAGGATCAGTACCAGGTCTCAATCTGATGACCTGTTAGCTAGGATCAGTACCAGGTCTCAGTCTGATGACCTCTAGCTAGGATCAGTACCAGATCCCAGTCTGATGACCTGTTAGCTAGGATCAGTACCAGGTCCCAGTCTGATGACCTGTTAGCTAGGATCAGTAGCTAGGATCAGTACCAGGTCTCAATCTGATGACCTGTTAGCTAGGATCAGTACCAGGTCTCAATCTGATGACCTGTTAGCTAGGATCAGTACCAGGTCTCAGTCTGATGACCTGTTAGCTAGGATCAGTCTACATCACATTCTTCAAGCTCACATCACATTCTACAAGCTCACATCACATTCTTCAAGCTCTCACATCACATTCTACCCATACCTGAAATGACCTTTATCTAAATCTGAAAGGGAATAGTTCGGTCTCCCGCCATTTGATCCCTTCTCAAGAATTTCTGTTCAATGCCTGCAATCATTCCTTAAACATGATGAAAAAATAGTTTAAACGGTAAATTTGCTGATAAAATTCCCAATTACACAACTTGCATATATAAAATATTAACAATATTTAATGTCACTCTGAAACCTTTTCAAATTATTCTTAGGGCAAAACATTGATATAAGTTGTATCCTATGCTTACCTGTCAGACAGTATATGCAAATGAAATTGTTTGTGCTCAGAAGCACACAAACAAATTTTGATGAAGTTAAATAAAAACTTTTATCTACAAACCAAATAGGCTATCTGCATAAGACATGATTTGTAACCTTTTAAATGTTGCATGTCAATTTACAATATCTGTCGGCTTTTTTAGTGCGCCGTTTTTTACTGCTGCTCCACGTCTCCCGTTTCTAAAACACATTCTACAAAAATGAAACAGACATAACTTGTAATTATATTGTTGGATATATTAGGATATGCATAAAAACACTGCAAAAAAAGAGATAAACACCGATGCTCCTCCTCCTCTCTGCAACTGGGTTTGTTTCCCCGACTTAGTGTGACAGTGGCGAAAAAAAACAAACGAAAAATAAAAAAAAGTTATTTAAAAAAATGAAAGAAGAATGCCCTGACATACGGGAGAAGGGAGGATGGGTGACTGTTCATGAGTGAATATTTACATCTACAGAGGAGATCAAACAACTTGATTCTCCATTTAATACAAAACCACTTTCATTTGTATAAAACTCACTCAAATCCCTGCGACATGCTGCAAGTGAAGATTATTTCTAGAGCACATTTCAGCAACAAGGCGATTCACACAAGACATCAAAAGCATCAGGACAAAGGGAAAAGGAGAGACTAAAATAGACTGTTTTAAATTCACTGAAACAACCACAACAACCAGAAGAGAAGATTAAAAATGAAAATATGATGACAAATAAGATCTTAAAGGAATAAAGGAATAACACTAAGAAAATAAATAAGCTCAAATTTGAAATGCAGTTTGTCAAATAAGGAGAGAACCTTTACTGCAGTGCACTTTCATAAACATTGGTGACATATAAGAGGCTATTTTAAAAACACCTTTTTCAATCAAAGCAGCACAGGCTGAAAGTTCAGACCTATATGTATCACTACATCCTACATAGAATAATCATGTCACTTATTCACTTGATGAGACATTGGGTCCCATTAAAGATCGGGTAGATGGCTGCATGAGAGCTACTCATTTTATATATTTTTAAATGATACAATTAAAAAAAATCAGTTCAGAATGATGACATGGCTTATTGTTATCTCCAGGCCTTTAGAGCATCTGAAGTAATCTGAGCTGTGAAACCTGAAGACGGCACACTACAGTTTTTCAATGTCTCAGATATCCTTTTCTAAAATCTGAGAAAAGCAACCTACCCACCTACATTACTCGACAAAACAAAAAGCTTATTTTTGGCTTCAAACCGAAGTTGTTAATTGAACATAAAGACATAAAGAAATAAACCTTTGTAAAAAAGAAAGTATAACCCAAAAGGATGTTGTGTATAGGTACAGGAACATTAGCTTTAGCGTGAAGGTTTAATGCCGCCCCAGAGAATGTCTGCATGTTTTTTTCATGTAACTTGAATCTGTTTTTTCCCACAATGATCTATATTTGATAAAATGTTAACCAGTCATATCTGTTGAGCTGCTGCTGCAGGAGCACACAAACATGTAGAGAACATTCAGATTCTTTTGTGTTTAGTATATTCAGTAACAACACAAACAGCTGTCCTAATTGTGTTTAGAAAGCTACAAACTAATTGGGTAAAATCATAACTGTAAAATACAGGTTTCTTGAGACTTCTTAATCCGAGTTGTATCAACAATCTTTCTGATTTAAAGTAAGAATTCAGGTTAAAATGTGTTCCTTAGAAATCTGAATGATTACAGTACATGTCTGTGTTCACTGAGAGTTCAATCTACTTGTTTGTTGTTGACAGAGCGGCTTTGTGTCCCGCTTTGGAGCGAAGCAGGGCTTGGAGAGCCAGGTGAAGAAGGTGTGCTGTTGGACTCTGCTGGCCTTGGCTGTCAGCATCCTGACCTACTGCGTTTGGAAGAGAGTGGTTTAGCCAACACTGCCACCTACCGACCACAACCAGGAACTGTCAGAAACTGAGCGACAGTGTGGAAATGTCTGCAGTGGTTTAAGATGCATCATTTTATCAGTAATCAGTATGTTACCTTCAAACTATCAGTAGAATTCAAACGCCAAACACTGCATGTGATATCTGATGAACACTTTCCTTTCAGCTTGTAATTTAATCATTTTAATTATTTTTTAGTGTAATTATGTATATATATATATATATATATATATATATATATATATATATGCTCTTTGTCTACATCTTAGCAGCTCTTTTATCTACAATGAATTAAAATAAGAACAAAACATTGAATGAACCATTTATATCCAGAATCTCCATCATGATCTTACTACTTTTCATTTAAGTCACATTATAACAGATTTTAAATGTTTGTTTACTTCTGCATTTCTGGCAAAACACCAGCCATGCAACTACACCTTATCTACAGTGTAGAGCCTCTACTCTTATAAATACTTTGACTTCATAGTTACATCTCATTAATCGGAAAGTAGCCTGTGAATACTATTAAACACATTAAGACTTCAAAAAAGCAGAAGAAACTTTTATTCACACGAACAGCAGACAGAACACTGAAAACACTTGTTTGGAACATTACATTTTAAATGGAAGATTTGGACAATTTAAGGTTTAGGCAAGCTCCTCCTCGCCTTCCTCCTCAAACTCTCCCTCCTCCTCGGCGGTGGCGTCCTGGTACTGCTGGTACTCTGACACCAGGTCGTTCATGTTGCTCTCTGCCTCGGTGAACTCCATCTCGTCCATACCCTCGCCGGTGTACCAATGGAGGAAAGCTTTGCGCCTGAACATGGCTGTGAACTGCTCAGAGATGCGCTTGAACAGCTCCTGGATGGCTGTGCTGTTGCCGATGAATGTGGCAGCCATCTTGAGGCCACGGGGAGGAATGCCACAGACAGCGGTCTTCACGTTGTTGGGGATCCAGTCAACGAAGTGGCTGCTGTTTTTGTTCTGCACGTTCAGCATCTGTTCGTCCACCTCCTTCATGGACATGCGGCCACGGAAGATAGCAGCCACTGTCAGGTAGCGGCCGTGACGTGGGTCGCAGGCAGCCATCATGTTCTTTGCGTTGAACATCTGCTGGGTGAGCTCTGGTACAGTGAGGGACCTGTACTGCTGGCTGCCTCGGCTTGTGAGGGGAGCGAAGCCTGGCACGAAGAAGTGCAGACGAGGGAATGGCACCATGTTTACAGCCAGCTTCCTCAGGTCAGCATTGAGCTGTCTGGGGAACCTGAGGCAGGTGGTAACGCCGCTCATGGTGGCAGAGACGAGGTGGTTGAGGTCACCGTAAGTGAGGGTTGTAAGTTTAAGGGTGCGGAAACAGATGGCATACAGAGCCTCGTTGTCAATACAGAAGGTTTCGTCTGTGTTTTCTACAAGCTGGTGGACTGACAGTGTGGCGTTGGAGGGCTCAACGACTGTGTCTGATACTTTGGGTGAGGGCACCACGCTGTAGGTGTTCATAATACGGTCGGGGTTCTCTTCACGGATTTTGCTGATGAGCAGTGTGCCCATCCCAGAGCCAGTACCACCACCAAGAGAGTGTGTGAGCTGGAAGCCCTGCAGGCAGTCACAGCTCTCTGCCTCCTTCCTCACTACATCCAGGACAGAGTCCACCAGCTCTGCACCCCCAAGCTGCAGGTCACTGTCACCGTGGTATGTGCCAGTTGGGTCAATGCCGTGCTCATCACCTCCCAAAACTGAAATACAATAAAACATTTTAAACATCTTACATTGTTGGCTGATAAAACAAGTGACAGGGGAATGAGTAGGCAGTAATGGCAAGTTGACGCAGGTCATTATGTATTGGTTTCTTTCATTTGTAAAGCTGACGTAGCAGTTCTATAGAGGTTGATTCATAAGAGCAGTTGAACGTCACTTCTGGCTCGCCAGAGTGACCACGCCTCCGTTTGGGTGAAAACAAGCCCTGAGAACGTTTCGACGGTAGATTAGAAAACACTGGAAGCCATGTGATTAAACGCGATTGCGATGCTTTTTGTACTTCAAACTATTTTAAAAACACAATTTAGTATCGGGTTTTGATTTACAAAGGACACCGGAAGGTAAAAGAAGAGCTGTGTGTGTTTGGACTGAAACTAGAGAGGATTAAAGCGGTAAATTGTGGGACCTCTGTCATGTTCCTGCTTTAAAGCAGAAGTGAAGTGTGTTAACAGATTCTTCACACACTCATTCACTAACGTATTAACAACGTTTCAACTGTCAAATCACATAAATGTTGGTGAAAATGTCTCTAAACGAAGGAACACTACACCAAATCCTCTTACTGAAAAATAAATATCAAAATAAAAAGTTGTCTCTATCGATATAACACCTCTCTTGCCCTACTCATCATTATTCATACTCACGTATGAATACATTGGCCAGCCAGCTTTTTGGCTGGATGATAAATTTGCTTGATTAGTTTTCGTTAATACAGCTATGCGTATTATTGTGTACAAATATTTGTCTGTTTGACCTAGAACCCCCAAATTTTCACCAGTTGTTCGTGAGATTTGGAACTGTCACCAAAACAAAAATAGGTATCATGAGAGGGTAGTCAGCTCACCAAAACAACAGGGGGAGCTGCTATATATGGTTAAAATACATTTTAACAAATGTATCAATTATTTTTTTAATATCTGATAACATAAATGTCTTAACCATCCAATTAAACTCCCCTGTGTACCCTCAATTAAATATATATTACTTCTTAGGTAAGGGAAACACTGAGATCTGTCTAAAAGACTACAATTCCTTAGAGTCAAGTCATACAGCTTGATACTGAATGGCGCCATAATTGTAGTCTTTTCCGTTTCCAAAAAAGGTTGTAACTAGGATTATAAAAGGCTTACAAAAGATATATTCACTGAATATGTCACAGATCTTGTGTGACCGAAGTATTTATTGCATAGTACATATATGATCTATGTTAAAATAAAGTACATATATCAGTTAATTTAGGATATTTTGACTGTTATTCTAGAAATGGGAATTTTGGTAGTTATGTCTGGCGTTGTGCACAGAGGGAACATAATTAGGGTTGTAAAAAATGGTTCAGGTGTTATTATGTATCATACAGCAGCTGATGAAGAATCCGGTCGGGCTGGAAATATCTTGAATTGTGTTTTTAATGCATATAGCAAATAAAAAAATTATAATTTTGTGAATCTTTGTGCATCACATCTCATATTTTTGTTCGACTCTGCATGTGTGTATATGTTGGCTGACTTTTTCTAAACTAATGCATTCACCCAAAGGTCTGACACTTGGACAGTAATCACTTTGTTTAGGGTTTAAGTTGTGTTAGGAAAGAAGACATGTTGGGTTATCTGTGACGTTCTTCCTGGTGTTTGTCTTGTATAGAGGAAGGAAGTGTAGTTATTAAAAACACTCTGATATCTGTCGTCCGCTCACTGCCTGCAGAGGAGAGTCGTCTTTCAGACGTTACTCTTCTTCACATGTAAGTAGAATGATTCCTCAACATGTCTACTAATGTTTGAGTGCTGCTGTGTTCTGATTATTCCACCTGCTAACATCTTTTATCTTCCTTAAAGTCACAACGAGAGATGAGAGGAGCAGCAATGAGTTTAATCAGAGCAGTGAGTTGGTTTATCGTCGTCCTCCACTCTGTGTCAGGTACGTCATGTCTACACTTTCATTCACTTCATTAAAAAAAGAGGAAATGTGTATGAAGGTAGATATGTTGCAAAATAGGAGAGCTTGTAAAATGTGATGTGAGAGCTTGAAGAATGAGATGTGAGAGCTTGTAGAATGAGATGTGAGAGCAACAAGTACAAATTTGTTTTGCTACAGACGTCTCGCAAAATGTGTTGCAAAACATTTTTACATACAAGTTCACTTTTTTTTCCTTGAAGCTCACATCACATTCTACAAACTCTCCTATTTTACAACATATCTACCTTCATAGAATGTGGGACTGATTAATACAGACTGAAGGTCATCTGTGTGAAAAGTGGATCAGGTACAGGTGACTTTATTTGTACCTGTAGGTAAATCTGGTTGCAGGGAAAGTCAAATAAACTTAATAACGCACGGACAAAACATAGAACAGGAAGTGCAAATGCTCGGTACACGGGTAGAAGTGCAGAAGTGCATAAATGTGTAGGTTCCAATCGAACTCATGATGGACAAGTTGATCTGTAAGAGGGTCTGCTGTGGCTCAGTGGTAGAGTCGGTCGTTTCTTAACCGGAAGGTCGAGGGCGTGTGAATGTGTATGAATGGATGAGTTAATAATGACGGACTCTTTACTCAGCAGCCTCTACCATCAGCGTGTGAATGTGTATGAATGGATGAGTTAATACTGATGGACTCTTTACTCAGCGGCCTCTACCATCAGTGTGTGAATGTGTATGAATGGATGAGTTAATACTGACGGACTCTTTACTCAGCAGCCTCTACCATAAGGGTGTGAATGTGTATGAATGGATGAGTTAATACTGATGGACTCTTTACTCAGCAGCCTCTACCATCAGTGTGTGAATGTGTATGAATGGATGAGTTAATACTGACGGACTCTTTACTCAGCAGCCTCTACCATCAGGGTGTGAATGTGTATGAATGGATGAGTTAATACTGACGGACTCTTTACTCAGCAGCCTCTACCATCAGTGTGTGAATGTGTTGGTGTGACCTGCAGTGTAAAAGAGCTTTGAGTCTTTTGGGACTTGGGTTGGGGAACGGAGGGTCGCTGGTTCAAGTCCTGGTGCAGAGCAAGTCTGATAATTGGTCTAGTAGTCTGAGAGGTGCCAGTACACTTCCTGAGCACTGCCGATCCAGTGATGACGTGGAGAAATAGCCGATCAGTGGTGGTCTTGACCGGTCTTTATTTGAAATCCTAAGTCCGCCCAGTCAGAGACCGAGACCTTCAAAAAGTGGTCCTGAGACCAAGACTGATTTGGAGTACTACAACACTAGTGCTTTGCACTAGTGCTTCTGCACTTTGTGTTTCAGGATCCCTGATACTCTCAGAAATACTACAAACAATGTTTCGTATTCTGTGATGTGACATCTCCACACATGAAGTCGTTTTCTGACTTTAGTTTGAATCATCCGTTTTCACGTCTAAAAGGAAGGTCACCTCTTTTTCTTGACATATACCAAAAACCAAGTCTGCTTATCACTCTTAGATACCACAAATTAAAATGTGTTTTATTATTCATGCTCTCAGACTTTACCCCTGCAGTATTTGTTCTAAAACAGAGTTTGTTCTCAGGTTCTCTCTAATACAGTTTCTATCTCCTGATAGTTTTTGTGGGTGGAAACTTGTCTCACAGTGAATATCTTCCACCATCACACATCCACACTAAACCCTGCTACTTCCTTCTTCAAAGTGTCAGATCTTATCCAAGCAGCATCCTCCGGTGTTGACGAATGAAGCCGATGCAAAACAACAACCTGCAGTTCCTCGGGTGTCCACTAGAGGCTGGCTGCAGAAAAGCACATGAAGTCACATACACACCCATACTAAAAAAGCCTGTTTACATTTTTGAGTCTTTAAAATGATTACAGTTGGATAGAATCGTGATCAGATGATTTTTAGACGTTGAGATATGTTGAGGTTTTTATTTTTTCTTCTGAAAGTTATGAATGTTGATGGTTGTTCCTGATGTGCTCTGTGTTTCAGCGGTTCAGGATCTCTGGGATGTGACGTGCTCTTCTGTGTGGATCTGTGCCCGTAAAGGATCGACTGTGGAGATGAGCTGCACCTTTCCATACCCAGAGGAAATAAACGAGGAAGTTAACACACTTCAGGAAACATTTTGGTCTACTGATGAGCCTGAATATAAAGTGGATGTTAAAGAAGACTCCAAGTATTCAGGCCGTGTGCAGAATACCTGTGTGGGGAACAACTGTACTCTGAGAATCACAGACGTGAGAGAGACAGACACGGCTTACTACAGGTTCATATTGAAAACAAACATCAGCAGATATTTAAGTAGATCTGGGGTCATCCTGATTGTCACAGGTAATATTTCACACTTTATTCTCTGAGCTCACAGTTTATAATATGTTGTATATTAATGTATTTACTACATGTTTGTGTGCTGATATTTCTACACATGTTCAGATCTCCAGTTGCACGTGATCAGACTTGCGGCTGGACTCTTCTTTATGTGTCTCAACGGATGTTCTGATGAAACCATCTGGTTCAAGAATGGAGAGGAAATCAAAGATGAAACATCAGATCATTATTCATCAGAGCAGGTTCTTCAGACAGACAGTTATTCCTGTGCTGTACGAGGACATGAGAAGTTCCCGTCTCCTCCAGTGTGTGAGTTTATTTACAGTCTTCACTGATTCACAATAGGGCTGCAACTAACGATTATTTTGATAATCGATTAATCGGTTAATTATTTTTCTGATTAATCGATGAATCGGATTTAAAAAAAACAATTTTGAATTTCCACACGTTTATTCAAAAACAGAACATTAGTTCATTGACAGGGCAAACAAAAGTGCAAAAACAACAGGTTACTGCTTGGACGTCTCCATGAGCTTTCTGAAATGGGTCCTTGAGGGAAGAGTGTAGCCAGGGTTTAAGGTGGGGATCATTGTAGTGAAGTTGCATCTTTATTTTCAACCATCGTCAGAGGCCTCGTGTCAGCGACGAGCATGTTGAGGATGCTATCTGTCAAGACGGATGCTTCTTGTGGTGTACATGATGTTTTCTGCAATAACAAAGATAGTATTAATATGTAAAACAGCACAATTTACATCTAATCAATATGCCTTGTTGTTTTAGTTATGAATTTATTGTTATGTAAAAGTAAGTAACCCAAAGAGCACTTGCAGAGACAACACATGTTTTTATAATATATATTTATTTACATCAATACAGGTACCCTAAAAACTTATTTACACAAATTTAATTAAGTGTCTAAATGCACTTGCATACAGTGCAGTGTATTAACTCTCACCTTATTACAGAAAATTAAGCTTAATCATCAAATTATTAAATCATTGTAGTAAGTACATTGTTTTTTAATTGTTTATTGACAGCAAGCTGACAAAGTGCTTTAAAACATTTTTAAAATAAAATAAAATGTAAATCACACACCTACACAAATATATTCCAACGTCAACAGAAATAATATGGGAAAACAGCAAAGAATATATCTGACAACGTATTGAAAGTGGGCCTAAAAGGCAAAATAATAAAGTTTTCTTTAGTCTAAGGTTGTTTGGAGTTGGCAAAGTAAAAAGTTTTCTGTACCGCGTCATTAACCAGCTAACGTTAAACGTTAACGTTAAAGCACCAGCCGAGCAACCGGAGAGACTAACGTTACATTTTCTTACTTGAAAACAGAACAACCATGGGATTTTGTAGTGACTTACCCTGCTGTCGAGCTCCCTTCCTAGTCAGCGATGACTCCGACATGTTTACTTTTCAGGTGCTGCATCATCACTGTGGTGCTCCCGTGCCGCGCCGTATCGCTATTGCAAAGCTTCAACTAACTCTTGTTTTTATGCATCGTGAAGTGCTCCCACACTTTAGAAGATTTCGGTTGAACCGTTCTCTCCGCTCTGCTGTGTTTAATATCTGAAATACCAGCTCCACTCTCTCACGCTGTAGCTCCGCCACGCTGTGCCGTCGGCATGTAAACAGTTCGGCGTGCACGTCACCACAGTCTGCGACATAGGGAGTGACGCATTAATCGCGCAACGCAACGAATCGATAATGAAATTCGTTGCCAACACTTTTATTAATCGATTTTTATTGATTCGTTGTTGCAGCACTAATTCACACCTTCACACGGAGCCTTTAAAGGTCCAATCAGTGAGCTGTGTAGAGAATGAGATGATAAAGGTATCTTACTATCTAATCAGACATGAAGGAAACATGCTATGTTGAAGTGCTGGCTTCTCTGACAACAATGCAGCAGCCAGTATGTCCTCCTTCTAACTTTACATTCTGCTCCTGAATGCTCTGGATTTGTTTGGACCAGATAAAGTAGGCGCTTTTAAGACACCCCCACACGGCCGTTTTGGATGCCCTCGGTTTGTCAGATATGAGAGCAGTTATCAGGTCAAACCAACAGGTGTTGCAGCGATGGAAGTGTAACACCGGGAAGGTTGCGGCCGTAACCGGGGATAAAAATCAAACTAGAAATGAATTGAAGTTATTTGTTCTTTTAAAAAGAGGACGTTTTCCTTCTGATCTCAGTGATGACGTGGAGAAATAGCCGATCAGTGGTGGTCTTGACCGGTCTTTATTTGAAATCCTGAGACTGAGACCTTCAAAAAGTGGTCCTGAGACCAAGACTGATTTGGAGTACTACAACACTAGTGCTTTGTTCTGCACTTTGTGTTTCAGGATCCCTGATACTCTCAGAAATACTACAAACACTGTCTCGTATTCTGTGATGTGACATCTCCACACATGAAGTCGTTTTCTGACTTTAGTTTGAATCATCCGTTTTCACGTCTAAAAGGAAGGTCACCTCTTTTTCTTGACATATACCAAAAACCAAGTCTGCTTATCACTCTTAGATACCACAAATTAAAATGTGTTTTATTATTCATGCTCTCAGACTTTACCCTGCAGTGTTTGTTCTAAAGCAGAGTTTGTTCTCAGGTTCTCTCTAATACAGTTTCTATCTCCTGATAGTTTTTGTGGGTGGAAACTTGTCTCACAGTGAATATCTTCCACCATCACACATCCACACTAAACCCTGCTACTTCCTTCTTCAAAGTGTCAGATCTTATCCAAGCAGCATCCTCCGGTGTTGACCAATGAAGCCGATGCAAAACAACAACCTGCAGTTCCTCGGGTGTCCACTAGAGGCTGGCTGCAGAAAAGCACATGAAGTCACATACACACCCATACTAAAAAAGCCTGTTTACATTTTTGAGTCTTTAAAATGATTACAGTTGGATAGAATCGTGATCAGATGATTTTTAGACGTTGAGATATGTTGAGGTTTTTATTTTTTCTTCTGAAAGTTATGAATGTTGATGGTTGTTCCTGATGTGCTCTGTGTTTCAGCGGTTCAGGATCTCTGGGATGTGACGTACTCTTCTAAGCAGATCTGTGCCCGTAAAGGATCGACTGTGGAGATGAGCTGCACCTTTCCATACCCAGAGGGAATAAACGAGGAAGTTAACACACTTCAGGAAACATTTTGGTCTACTGATGAGCCTGAATATAAAGTGGATGTTAAAGAAGACTCCAAGTATTCAGGCCGTGTGCAGAATACCTGTGTGGGGAACAACTGTACTCTGAGAATCACAGACGTGAGAGAGACAGACACGGCTTATACAGGTTCATATTGAAAACAAACATCAGCAGATATTTAAGTAGATCTGGGGTCATCCTGATTGTCACAGGTAATATTTCACACTTTATTCTCTGAGCTCACAGTTTATAATATGTTGTATATTAATGTATTTACTACATGTTTGTGTGCTGATATTTCTACACATGTTCAGATCTCCAGGTGCAGGTGATCAGACTGCGGCTGACTCTTCTTTATGTGTCTCAACGGATGTTCTGATGAAACCATCTGGTTCAAGAATGGAGAGGAAATCAAAAATGAAACATCATCTTTATTCATCAGAGCAGGTTCTTCAGACAGACAGTTATTCCTGTGCTGTACGAGGACATGAGAAGTTCCCGTCTCCTCCAGTGTGTGAGTTTATTTACAGTCTTCACTGATTCACACCATCACACGGAGCCTTTAAAGGTCCAATCAGTGAGATGTGTAGAGAGTGAGATGATAAAGTGAGCTTACTATCTGATCAGACATTAAGGAAACATGCTATGTTGAAGTGCTGGCTTCTCTGACAACAATGCAGCAGCCAGTATGTCAGTGATGATCAAATGATCCGCT